GAGACAGGGAGACAGACAGACAGACATACGTTCATTCAATCATTCATTCATTCATTCATTCATTCATTCATTCATATATCTATGCACACAGACACACACACACACATGAACGTATACATATACATATCTACGTACACATATATGATGAATGTACATATATGTATAACGCATATATACATGCATTTATATACATACCCACCTACCTACCTACCTACCTACCTACCTACCTACCTACCCACCTACCTACCCACCTACCTACCCACCCACCCACCCACCCACCCACCCACCCACCCACCTACCTACCTACCTACCTACCTACCTACCTACCTATGCACCTACCTACCTACCTACCTACCTACCTACCTACCTACCTACCTATGTATATAATTGCATATACTTGTTCACATACATATACATATACATACACAGTACATGTACATATACATATATACATATACATATTCGCACACAGAAACATCTGCATTTAAAGGTATGTATATGTATGTATGCATATACTCTTATACACACACATGTACACATACAAAAATACATAAATACATACATGCTTGCATGCATGCATAACTACATACCTACGTGCCTACATCCATACCATGCCTACATGCATGCATACATACATACTGACATACACCGGTACATATGTACGTATACGGGAACACTCAGACACCAAATTTCTACATGTTTTTGACGAATGTGTACGAAGTGTGCTCCTCCGACTCCTCGGGGCGGCTGGAAGCCACCGAGGCAGGGGACGCTCCTCTCGGGCAGACTGAAGCTTCAAACGAGAAACTCCTAGACCTCAGAAGCCGGAACCCCTAAACCCGACAATCTCAAAGCTCAAGAGTGCATTTCAGGCAGAATGGGGAAAGCGGAGGACACGAGACATGATAAATCTGACGACCATGGCAGAGGCTCCCTTTCAACACAATCCTGCTCAACAGAAGGTCCCACACCACAGGAAAAACTTTCTCAGAAATGAACTGCAGTGAGCAAATGAGGTTTCGGTTCGTGCTCTCCGCTTGGATTAGTCAAAAGAGGCTTTGTCGATCTTTGTCGTGTTTCCGGACCTTCCAGACCTTCCACTCTCTGACGATTGCTCCGTCTGCCCTTTCTACGGCCTAAAGGAAGTGTCCCGTAAACCTGTCGATCATGAGTCGTTTTGCTCCTGCTTCGCTAGCGGCACTCTAGCCGCATATTCAACTGGTTTGACATAGCTCTAAAGCCACCCTGTAGGTACTTGCAAGTTACGTCTACTCTTCGTTCAGAACTCGCTTTCAGCAGTTTCGAGCACTGATACAACAATCTTATCACACATGCGAAACTGAACATCTCGCATGCAATGTCAACATGCAGCAGCAACCACAACAACAACAACAACAAGAACAAGAACAAGAACAAGAACAAGAACAAGAACAAGAACAAGAACAAGAACAAGAACAACAGTACAACCAAGCGTTCTCCGAACTAGTTCGGGACCGGCTTCTGTAGTTCTACTGAGTGCGCCTGTCGTAACAGAACTGCTCCTTGTTCTGGTGCTCAGTCACTATCAAACATCGCAGTTAAACATATCGTTGGCCATTCGCCTGTCGTGCTTCTGCTGTAAACGTGAGGATGTTGGAATAGAAGCATCCTCAATGCGTCCGTCTTTCAACCCTACCCGGACCCAACCACAAGACATGCATAGCAATACCTGGTTTTCTCGAAAATTGACTTGTGTCCCCGTTTCAGAAGCGGCATGCGGCCGGGAATATGTATTCTGGCGAAACAAATTCCGAAACTGGCAATCATCTGGCAAACTCCTGGCGCTCAAACCTGACACCCGAGACCTAGGACTCCTGAGATTCAAAACTCGTCGACACCGCATGTTCGAAGACACCCTCACCTGCCTGCATCAGCCAGACGAGATGCAGATGGCGAGCGCAAAGGCGAGCGCACGGGCGAGTCATCAGCTGACGTGCCTGTTGGCAAACTGAGCTCAAAACCGTGCTTCGCAGCAGTCCCACGGAACATGTGCTTTGCGAGAAAGTTGTTGCCGACAACCAAACACAAGATGATTGCAAAATAATCCAGGTCACCTGTACATTACAAGCAACAAATCGAAATCAAGTCGGAAGCTACCAGCCTTGCCTATTCCACGCAGGTGCAACGTCTGAACTTAAAAGTCGCCATGTGAACAAACAAACATACATACATACATACATGCCGGCATGCATGCATGCTTGCTTGCTTGCTTGAATGCTTGCTTGCATGCTTGCTCGTGCTGTTTGACTCCCAGGGGTATGAATCCAAAGATCCATCCATCTATCCATCCATGCGGGCTTGAATGCATGCACACATGCATGTTGTATGTAGGCATGCATGCACCTATGTATGTACCTGTGAACGAAGGAGCCAACGAAAAAGCCAAGAACGAATGGATGCATGAACGTCTCACATATAGAGACACACACACTCACACACGATCGTACACGTCGAAATGCACTGGCCTGCTCCGGCTAAAGCTTGACCACGGGGGCTTCGCAGGGGCGGAAGCGACCTCCACATGGGTTGGTCAACATACTTAGCAGATCTTTGCAGGAAGCTTTCAGTTCAGGATATCGGGAGCGCGGTTGAGTATGGGGGCCACCGGCATGGTTTTGGCTTCGAGAAGAGCTTGAAGAGCTGATGATGCAGCACCCTGCCAACGGCAGCCCATGAGGCTGCTAAGCCCTCAGGAACATTGAGCGCGGATTCATCCGCATTGTCAAAATTTGAAAAGCAACAGACAGCACAAGTCCCTCGAACCCGAGGCTCTGTGGGACCCCGGCGTGGAAGAAGGCCGCACAGATCTGGAGGACCCGCCTCCGTTGGTTCTTTTCTGAATTGATAGAAGTCCCGATTGCGAGGGCACGTGAAAGAGGTGGTTGCGCTGTTGCGCCCATGCCAACTGCTGACCAATGCGCAATGCCCGACTTAGGGTACCTGCTCTGCCTGCAGCGGCACCCCGTAGAGGCTTAACATCCTTCCCCGCGCTGCAGGGAAACCCGGAGAGCCCTATGAACGAAAACATAAAGGAAGACCATCCGAGTTCGTCCGCAGCCTCGAGAGGCAGGCCGGTCACCAAGAGCTAGCTGCAGCTCCTGAGTCTTGTTATAGCCTTGGGCCCTGTTGCTTTGCCTCAGCTTGGGATGCCGGCCGGCCGCAAAGATAAGAAAGCTTGAGATTTGTGGTTTGCTCGACTGCAGGCCTGTGCGGCTTCAAACGGTTTTGGAGCTCCCCCCAGGCAAGCGCTAGCTTCGGACATGATCCCTGCAGGCAAAAGCAGCAGTCACAGTCGCAGCTGTAGTTGCGGTATTGCTGGTGGCTGCGGCAATAGAAGCAGGAGCAGTAGGCGCACTAGAAGCAGTAGCAGTAGCAGTAGCAGTAGCAGTAGCAGTAGCAGTAGGAGCAGTAGAAGCAGTAGCAGTAGGAGTAGCACTAGCAGTAGCAGTAGCAGTAGCAGTAGTAGTAGTAGTAGTAGTAGTAGTAGTAGTAGTAGTAGTTCTATTCTTAATAGTAGTTTCGAGGTTCGGGATGCTTACATGCCCTGGTCATATGTGACTTGAAGGGTGCCTGGCCGAAGTCGGACAAAGCACAACATAACACAGTCTGACAGGCTTCAGTCTTAAACGACCGCGTCAAGGAAGACCACCACACGTTTGGTTTCGATGTCAGGGGCCAAGTCTTCACGAAGATTGGAACAGTAGGTACGCGTGGCCGGAAATGTTCAACAGGTCGTGTGGAGTTGCAGAGTAAAGGCGAAGGTCCGTAGCTCCGGAGCAGAGACGTGGCAAAGAGTTCCAGGCAATGCACATACATCCAACACCACAAGCCATGACCAAGGGCTGCACGAGTGCATCGGTCGTTGAGCTGGCGAAAGACCTGCCAATTCAGCACATCTCAGACATGATTCCAAGGTCATTACCCAGCAGCATCACGGGGCACATGATGCAATAAATCTGAACATGAGAAGGTAGGGGAGCCCTGCTGCACATAGCCATGCCAAGTTGACGACTACAGGACGCAAGCCAAGCGAGCAAAGCAGATGTCCCGACTTTAGAATAGGCTCTACGAAAGCTACCGTCTTCTAAACACCCAGCAGCCGAAGCCACGGCCTTGCTGGATACCCTTCGCCCGGCAGCTGCGGCGGCCGCATCCGGTGTCGGTGCGTCTCCTCCGATGTGAGATATGGTTGTTGAAAGCGCGTGAAAGGACGTTTGGGAGGGCCTTGGTGAAGCAATACACATAAAGTACACTCGGCTCGTTTCAGGAGATCGCCGACGATGCACCAATTTCACAGCCTGCCCTTTTCCTGGACAACGGTTGCTGAGTTTGTTGGCTTGCATTAGCTAGCGCACACGGCAACTGACGGTTTTCGGCAAAATGGAACTCTTGGTCGCTTGTAGATAAGATTCGTTGTAAATGGCACATGCTCTGGGTCAACAGGCTGTCAGGAATTCACCAGATCTGCCAGCACATCGAAGCGATAAAGCAATCATCTGAATTGCAGTGGAACTTCGAACTTTTGATTTTGTTTCTCAGCCATCCACCATGTCTACCCGCTGCCCAGAACACCCTATCATCAACTGCAGTCCAGTCGCTTGCGTATTCCGCAAGTTCTCGTGCACTTGGCGAGCGCTTCGCATGGCGCGATTCGCCATGGCCGTGGCTCGGAAAATAACGATTGCGATGGATCGAATCTCGAGCTGTCGGGTCAACATAAAGTTTTGGGTCTTCGCACATAAAGGCTTCTGGCTTCCGTCGTGTGCTTAAAGCCGCACAAACTCACACCCGAAGAAAATCTGAAGCATCTTGTCGCTATTCGAAATCTGGGTCGGGCTCAGCATCTGCCATCATGGATGTTGTTTGGCTGTTTTTTGAACTTTGAGCCGTGACCGATTGCGAACCGCAGAAACCAGGCATGCTACAGACCGTAAAAACATGCACAGCAAAAGAAACACGTACCAGTCTACCATATGCCAGTACAACACAAAAACGATAAAGCTTCACCACGCCGTTGATCTGTGCTGCAATATTGTCTGTTACGAAGTGCTGCGCTTCTGTTTCGTGTGGTTGTAACTCTCAAAACCATCCAGTCCACACGAACTCAAGTCACGATTTTAGTCTTACCCTGTCGGATTCCACAAACGATAACCGCGGACGATCTTATCGTAGAATCACGCCCGTTGCACATCTTGGCCTTAGTGGCTTTGCCAGTTTACATTTTTGGAACACGAAAATCCGAACTTTTTGTGGCACTTAAATGCTTATTGAGAAAAACAAAATTCTCTTTCGAGGTTTTTGACATCCAGTACCGGAGTCGCATGACATCGCATGACCCACAGACGCCTGTTGCTGCTGCGGCGCATATTTCGAATACATTGAATGGACAAGTTGCACATAAGAATTTCTTTGCATGTGTTACGCAAGGTGAGAACATGGAGAAAAGAACAAAAGAAAAACAGCTGCGTTACTGAGCGGATCCGTCCGTTCACTCCACTAGCTTTGCAAAAAATCTACCACAGCCAATTACCAATAACATAGACAAGCTTTGCTGGCTGCCCCAACAAAATGTTTTTGGTAAATATCAACTGGACCACGTGCCAAAACAAAAAACGGCGCAGAAACACAACATGCCAGCAGAAATGAAACGCAAACACATGTATTCGACCAATGACAAAGCCCAGGAAGGTCAATCAGTTGGAGTGCGGAAGCAAAAAGCCATTTGGTGCTGAGCAATGAGACAAAAGAGAGCAGCGACAGGTTGGATATCACAAAAAAAAATGCCTTTTATCGTCACTGCCTGCCATTCTAAAGTGATGCTGATTCTTCCATCTAGATGCTGTTCTCTCTTCTGCAATTCAGATCAAATCCCAAAAACCAAAAGAAAACTGTGCACAAAGTTTCACTTTTGTAAGCAAGCCAACTGTCCTTTTTTCTGAAGTGATGCACCAAAACGCAACGTGTCTCTCCAGTTTGCGGAAGTGTCTCTCATTTGTTGTTGGCTTTCAAATCTTCAGCCTAGAAAAGAGGAATGGGTCCCGCTTCCCAGATTTCAGAGTTGCGCACTCCTAGCAATTCATTCTAGGACATCAAAGAGAAGGGTTTTGGAGTTTGGAGTTGAGCGTTTAGAATGTTGGGTGATGCAATTTCTCTGAAACAACAAGTCGATCCAGCTTCGCAAAGCAGAACACAAATCTTGAATTGGAAGTACCGGATGCTGTCACTAGCTGCTTTCCAGGGCATCTGAGCCGAGTTTCTGTTAGGCTGTAAGTAGGTGCTGAACGACCTTTCGACAAAGTCCGCATGTTTTATCCGCTTTTGGTAGTTTTCTTGGTGTTTGTCACTTAGTGGTGCTTATTCTAGGACTGGTGCGGCAGCGCCGAAGCAATGGAAGTGAGTTCTGAAAGATGGATTCTGTGGGAGATTTGTTTGAGAGGTTGCAACCATTGTTCTGATGGGAATCTGTCTTTTGATCTGTGCTAGAATCTGAGCAGGAAGATGATCTCCTTTCAATCTCTCTTCCTTATTCTCTCTCTCCTGCCTGCCGGCTCTCAGATTAATTTGCAGATCCAACTGGTTGCAACTGCCCAAAAAAACCAAAGACACTTGAAGAACAGATTAGATCTTCAATTCTGCACTGATTTAATTTCTGAATCACACTCCAAGCAAACCACAAAGCGACCTCAAGTTTCAGCTTTGATGGAACGGTTCAAAACGAGTCTTGTCCGCTTTTCGGATGCGCACAGGTTTGAGGTTCTTTTTCTACAAGGTGACAAGTCACAGGTGCAAGAAGGCAAACTTGAGCCATAGACTCTTGTTGCTCAGCTTTGCCGGAGAAACGACGGCAAAGACCCGACAAACCCCACAGGCCCTGAGCTCCAAACCCTAAAAGCTGAAAAAACGCTCAAACAGAAAAGGCTTAAGACCTCCAAAGTGCGTATGTCCAAAGTCTGGGCAAGTCGGTTGGACTCGCTGCATTTCTGTGAGACTTTCTCAACCAGTTTTTACGAGCTGGTTCAAGCTGGTTAGTGTCCTTCTGTGTTGGTTGAGTTCAAGGCCAGATTCCGCAAAGATTTCGTTCCAAGCAAGGCTCCACAGAAGTGCCAGGTCTAGAACTTCAAAACGAACAATTGCATGCGCTTTTCTTTCTGGCGTCACAAACAATGTTACAGATTTCTCAAAGACTTGGAATCGTCCAGTCCCGCATTCTTCTTATGGCTTTTCGGGAACAACACTGGATAAACGACAAATAAATTACGTTTGTTTGTTGCCCTCCAGCTTGAAGCCGCGCATCCAAATTTCCCACCAGCTCGCAAGCCGACAAGGGTCTTGGATAACGGACCAGGAAGTCCGTGAGCGGATCAGCTTTTGTTCCCTGCACACAAAGGTTGCTTGACTCTCTGCTTGTGCAGCACTTAATGGAACGAAAGCAGAGCATCGAAGTTCGCATCCCATGGAAAAGTGTGAGTATCGCGAACCAATGGTTTCAGGTTTGGGATTTGGTTGCAGGGCAACACTTTTGCTTTCAGCAGAACTACTACTACTCCTGCGACCCCTACTGCTGCGACAACTACTATTGCTGCTGCTACTACTACTGCTACTGCCACTGCTGCTACACTTCCAGATGTTGTAAGCACATGTCTTGGCGACGAATGGCTCAAACCGTCCTTGAGTAACGACAGACGTGAGTTTTTTGCCAAGTTGTCAATTGTTTAAGGAGTTGCTGTGCAAGCGTCGCTTGCGGACTGAAAGCTTTTCAAGCAGATGTCGAGCATCCGATGTTGGCTGCCATGGAGATACTGCGTCTGCTTGCGATTCTTCTGACCGCATGCTGATTGTGCTCGTCTCGCCGACAACTCAATCGCTGCCAGCTGCTCTCCACGATGTAAGCATCGTTACTTCGTGCGCTTCAGCATTCAAGAGCATATTGTCGAAGTTACATGATAGCTTCCAAAGATGTAAGCATTTTTTATGTCGAGGTGAAATGAAGGCATGACGTTTTTTCGGACGCCACCCTGGATCTGAGTGCTCGTCGGATGATTGTGGGTTCGTCTGATGCAAAGGCCGGTAACACGGTGTGAAGTGGTTGAAATAGCGGTCTGTGCTGTATCCCGGTGAGACGGTTGCATGGTCAGGCCCCGGCACAAGAACTGGAGGTAACCATCAAGTCTGCGCAAGGCGGCAACTAGCACATTCCAGCTTTCATGTACACAAGTTTTAACATTGATGAATGTGCACAGGTCTGCGCGAAGCAAGGCATGCTGGAACAACAGATCCTTATTGTGCACATGTCTCGATTTGTGCCAATGTTGCTGTGGCACACGGGCCGTCAGCCGTCAGCCGCATTGCTACGTTCTCCCAACCATTTTGAGGTTGTCGAAGTGCTGGGATCCCAAAGCCGGTTCCAGACAAAGACTCTGCAGCGTACTGTGTGCCTTGGTTTTGCATCGGGCGTATGTCATGCGTTTGTGAGCAGGGTCGAGGTCGTAGCTGACGCCCATCGAAGGAATCCCGTTTGGGAAGAGACAGGAACATTGAGCCTTGGACGATCGAGCGGTTGGTGTATTTCAGGAGACACGATACAGTGTCGTTAGTGACTTGGTGTTGGTTTGCCCAGTGTGGTTGAGGATTGTTGCGCGAAATGGTGTGGTCAAAGTCACCATCTACGATTTCGATAACGCTCTGCAAGATGAAGTGCCCGATCCTGAGTACCTGTCGTGCAAGCTCCCTGCAAAGGGGTTCCAAGATCAACTTGTTTGCTTTCTTGCCGGTCAGGTTGGGATGTGTGGAGATTCCCTCCGGGAGTTTCGCTGACGGAAGTTTCGAGGGAAGGCTGCAGTTGCAGGACGACGGAGCTTTGCCTCAGGGTTGCACCGCAGTGGTCGTCAGTCCACACTTCATGGCGGCATGCAGGACGCACAGGCCAAAGGGCAGGCATCTTTGCAGGCAGACTTTGAAGGATAGTTCCAGTTCGATGCACATCATCGACTCATCCTCTTATTCCCTGTGGCATGAGGTTGGTCTTCGTGTGCTCCGGAATGTGCAGGTGCGGTTTTGTTGCATCTAACAGGACGTCACGAATCGCTGCCTTGAGCACAGGCACCGAACAGCGGTTCCACTGCACAAAGCAGTGAAGGATGGTGCCATTCAGCGCAGAAAAGTATGGCCATCAAAGCCACAACGCTCTTGACAGGAAGTGCAGCTGCTTTGGCTGTGCCGCCTACTCTTTTGCAGGCTTTTCCGGACCTGGCCATACCGCCATGCTTGGATTCCGTTTGCATGTACTTTGCGCTCTTGACTTCACGACCAGGAGTCCTTGAGATTGGTGTGGGTTGCAATCTTCATTCGGCAGGAGTCTCTTTGGAGTCTGCTCCCGTGTGTTCATCCTGCAGCTTTCTGCTTGTCAAGTTTTTTTTTCGCTGACACGAGCTGGCATACAGCAGACAGCTGCAGAGGATGTTGAATTACCGATTACAAATCGGGTGTTTCCATCAGGTGTGTGTGGAACTTGGAAGCTGGGAATCGGGGAAATGATGACTTTCGCTAGTGAAGTGGAAGCCATGTTTCGCATGTCGCTGCTCCTGTCTCGGCACGCGTGCCCTGCCTTGCAAGCTGCTTCCATATTTATCCGACGGCTCACGCCGCCACGCGGGCGTCCTGGGTCCTGTCCACAGGCTTGGAGATGGCAAGGGCCGTCTGTGAAAGCTTCCTCTGTCGAAGCTTGAGCTGCTGTCTCCCTCTGGTGGAGGTGTTGTGTCAGTTGTATCTATGGCCCTGCTTTTCGTGTCTTGGTCTTGCCTGTCTACGACTAGGCACAGTCTCCAGCCAAACTGTTGCTACACGGGTGTATTAGTTTTTTCATAGATGTATATTTGAATTGGGTTTTCCTACTTCATGCAGAGAGGTTCCGCATGCGATCTGTTGTGCTTCTTGGGCCCGTCACCTCTGTTCTCCAGTTTCTAGCTGTGCAGCTGTTCCGGACCAAAGCGTCGAGTGCCATTCTCCCGTTTTCATTGTCGGACTTCGACCCATGGCACTGTCAGGACACATGGGACCAGTTGAAACCTTACGCTCCAACCGGCGTCACGGGTCCCCCAAGCGTGGCAAAAGGAGAGTTGAGGTTTGGGAAGACCTTGATCTTCACGACCAGCTGACGGTGTGGGCCATCGGCCTAAGTGTGGCTATTACATTTCTTGAGGCATGTTACATATCCAACGGAAGCATCAGGCTGTTGTCGAATTTGGCGCAAGCAGTTTTTGCCATCACATTCTGCTCACTGCAAGGTTATGGATTCTACCTGTATGCCCAGGAGCGAAACTCATCGTATTCCGAGAGTTTGCGACAGTTCTTCTTCGTGGATATGGAAGACACAGATGCGAACTGGAATATGTGCGATCTTGTGCTGAATGTTGTCAGTATCTTGGATATGTTCCTGGACACCTTCGAGGGAAGGTTTGTGCATGCACTTGCTGCGGTGCGCGTTGTGCGCATCGTACGCCTTGTGCGCATTGTCAGCCTAGTTCCACTACTCGGGCCCAGCAAGTTTGTGGAGGACTTCAGCAGGGTGTCACACATGGCTGTGGAGCAGATGTTTAATTTTTTGGTGGTAATATTGGCGTCTCTGCTGGTGCTTAGCGTTTGTGCAACAAATATGCTGTGGGACTTTCCTGATGCAGAAATCGCGGCGTGCTACGGCAACCTGGGTGCAACTATGTGGACTCTGTTCAAGATCATGACCATGGACGGTTGGATAGATAGGGTCGAGACGGTGATGGTAGTCCATCCGAACATGTTGTACTTTTACGCAGTTTTCGTTTTTCTGTCACTTTCCTCCGTGTCCATCGTGCCTGCAATCTTCATTGACATCCTTCTAGAAGACCTGCTGAAAACCCGAGACGAAGTGCGGCGAGAAGAGAAACGGCGGAAGCGAGCTCGGCGAGCAGCGCGACGGGGTGCAAGAGGAAATTATCAGAAGTACCACTCCTCCGAAGCCCTTTTGTCCGACTCTGTCCATCAGAGCACGGAGAGCCAGCCGAAAGCTGCTTGGCAAGACGACATCTCCTGTCACTCGGATTCATCGCTCAGCTCGGGCAGCTCGGATGCGGACCTGGCGGCGGAAGCGAAGGTGAAAGAGGCGTCTCGCAGCTTTACATCTGGCCTTAGCCAAAGCCAAAGCTATCATCTCGTCAGCTCTGGTCCTCAGGACCATGAGCTGCCGTTGCGAGATCACGCATTCCAAGAGCTTCTAGACGATGCTCTCGAATCAGTGGCTCGGTGCGGCCAGCTCGCCCAACTCTCATCAGAGCTGCAACTGATTCAATCGAATCTCGAGGCGAAACTTCGGGGCCTCCTCGCAAAGCCGACACCCGGAGTCGGCTCTGAGCCTTCCGCCAGGAGGTGGCCAGAGCAAGGCTCAGATGTTAAGAAAGTGAGCGTCTGGTCTCCTTCGGAGATGCCCATAATGGGACTGCCGCCTGGAAGACCCGCCGGCTTGCATGGCTCGCCTCCGCCTAGTGACCTTGAAACTGATCACCAATGGGGCCCGTCAGGCCCGACGGCCGTGATGTCGGAGCATTCGAGCTGCCTGGGCCAAAGGATAGATCCCGAAGATGGATTGTCTGCAGCCCCCATCTGAGCCACATCAGGGCGCTTTATGGTGCTGCGTTTCGCTCTCGAGACTGGTTGGCGCTGTTTGCGGAAAGCGTCTGCCGTCCATGTAACAATGTAGTGCTTTCAGATCGAATCCGCATGATTCTGCCCCAAAGGCGGTTCGTGAAGAACGACGAGCAATCAGAGAAAATGCAATTTCCTTTCCGACAAGTGTCCAGCACAAGGCTGTTTTTGATGGTTGAGAGCGAAGCACACATCAGGCCATGGTTATGCCGGATCCTTTCTCCTTGACGACGGTGCCAAGGCTTTTCATCCCGATGTCTGCCTTTTAAAGAAAAGCTCAGCATGCGGGTGCCGAAGAAGTCCAACGTCTAGCCGTGTCCACTGACACAGCCACAGCTGCCGCCATCACCCTCACCAGCACCGCCGCCACCACACAGAAGCCCAGTGGGGAGAGAGAAGAAGTCATCCAGGGGACTGCCCTTGACCGAAGCCCCGAGCAAGCAAAGTAAAGTCATCCAGCCGACGGTCAACGTTCTAAAGGCTCCAAGCACCTCGAGCATGCCTATATGTGAGCGTAATTCTCCAGCTGATCAGTGCCGTTCGGCCTTTCAACAACAAGCATGCTTGTACAAGCGAAGTTTACGGAGACATGCATTGGTCATGCGTGAAAGCGCTCATAAATCACCACAGGGAAGTCACTTCAAGTTTCACTCAACATGCGCGGTTCCGACATATTCCGACTGACAGAAGGCTTTAGGTGCATTATGAGCATCGGGAAAGGACTGTGAAGCCCGAGGAACAAAGGCCTTCGCCTGCGCCTCGGAGAAGATCGGGGGCTTGATACAGCAACCCTTGGTCATCTCTTGTCCAAAAGTTCTGCGGTGCTAGGTCGCAAGAAGAGGCACAACATCTGATCGAGGTGCGAGTCTTACGCTGATCAGTGGCTTTTATAATGCAATACCGTTAGTCCGATAGCACCTGTATCGAGCTAATTTGGAATCATCGAGCAGCCAGCTTTACAACCGAACTTTTGAGGCCTACCACCGCTTGCCTGGACCTTGGACGGCAAACTCGGACACATTTTCATGGATGCCAGCCTCATGAGGCTGGACCAGCTGCTGGCCGCACAGGAGAGCATCGAAATGGATCAGGACATGTCCCCAGACCACACGAGCAGAGGCAGTGGTTTGACCATGGCCATGCTGGCATGAGTAGGGGGCGAGTGTAAAATTGAATTTCTTTGGGGTGCCCGGTTGGTTTATTATATCAGTCGTTTAGTCTTCTGTTTGCGATTATTACTGTGGAAAATGCTGCGACTCTTGCTGTGCTGCTCCTACTGCTGTTTCTGATGCTAGACTGTGACCAAGGACGAGGACGGCCGCTGGTATCAGTGTTTATTAGTGCTGCTATTTAGTAGAATCGTGGAGTAGGAGCAGGCGTGATCGTCGGAGTAGGAGTAGGAGCCGGAGTAGAAGTAGAAGGAGGCGGAGCAGTGGTGGCAGTGGTGGTGGTGCCTAGTAGTGGTGGTTGCTACTTGGCTGGTGCTAGTGCTAGTGCCCGTAGCGCTAGTATTTCCAAAAGGGCTGGCACTACTAGTACTGCTGCTGCTGCTGGCGCTACTGCTGCTGCCAGTGCTGCTACTGCGTGCCTCTCAGAGCTATGCCAGTTCCCTTTGAATTTGCAGCAGCCTCGCTCTCTTATTGTTGACATTTCGAGGATGATCGAGAAACTGAGACACAAGATCCCTTCAACACCCCAAGGCCTCAATTGCACCAGAGCCTGAGCAATTTTCGTGTCGTGTAAAACCTCTCGCGGCAGATGCGTTCCTTTCTTCGCCTTCTTTGTCTTATTCGAGTCGTTGTTGTTGATGGATGGCTTGTTTTGTTTTTCCTTTCATAGGACGTCAGGTTTACAGGTTAAGTTTAGTATTTTGGGTTTTTGGGGTTTTAGGCTTTTCGGGTTTAGGGTTTATTGAAAGAAGGGTTAAACGAGGGTTTCGGGTTTAGGGTGTACGGAGCTTTAGGGTTTGACGTCTCGGGCTTTTGCTTAGGGCCTGGGCTTGTCACAGGTTAGGCTGTTCAGGGAACGATCGAGAGCTGTTCTGTGATTGTGGTTCAAGACCCAGGCACCGCTTGTGAGCGAGTGACATAAAAAAGGTTTTGAGCCGTTTGCGAGCGTGATCTTCCCATGCTAGGGCCCTGGACCCGCCTTCGGAAACCCTCAGCGCGCAGTTGTGGCCCGCGTCTTGGGTAAAGATCCCATAGGGCCTACTGGCCAATGGGTCAGCTCTTCAATGCTGGACAGACGCCGGCCCGCTGAGTTCCGGGAAAGCTCCAATGAACCCTGGCGTGCCCCAGCGGGATTGAGTAAGGCTGTAACAGATGGCGCCCTGGACCGCCCCAGCGCGAGTCATTCGGCGTGAAAGGGAGATTTTCGGGCGTTTCACGCCCCGTTCGAATTAAAGGCGTCAGCTCGCTTTAGAGCCACGCCCGCCTCCTGTAAAAAACGGAAGCGGCAAGGCGTTTCGGTAATGGGGCCCAGGGTTAGGTTCTAAGACCACCAAAGCAATGTCACATACCATTCTAGTGCAGTATGCTATCACGGTCCAGTTTCGGTTCGGGACTTTTTGTCCAACATCAGAACATTCCACCAATGGTTTGGGCGCGCCCGCTGGAAAGGAAGGTCTTCCGGATCTACGCCCCGGCCTCTCCATTTAGTTGACTGTCTTGGCACTGGTGCTGCGCTTTGCCCTCCGCCTGAAGCTAGCGACTCAGCAGCAATCCCGTCCCCCCCTGTCATCCCCCCTGTCAGCATCAGTAAGTCCCCCCCAGCAAACACAGCGAACAAGTCTTTTGTGCAAACTCTTCTCGGCAACAAGAACTTTTGACAAAAGCGAATGCCCCCAGCCCCAGCAGAAAACTCCCGTCGCAGCAGCGTTGCCCTGCAGCAGCTTCGCGTGCGCTTTTTCTGAAGCATTTCTTTTCAGTAAGTGCATGGTACTTGGTGTCAACTCTTTCCCAGTGTGGGTGTTGGTGTTACACCACAATCGGAAGTCTTTCGCTAGCCATAGGCAAGGCCTGTTGATCATATTCACCTCTTATCCATACTGATAATGCCAACACTACAAACAATGCTAACAATACTTGATAAAACCATTCATACGAAACAGCCACACAAAGACAAGCAATAATCGCAATCCAAATCATGCTCCTAATGCTCCGTACAAACATTACGGGCAATACATACAAGCCATACCAATAATCCAAAAATGCGGCAAGATAATGTTAATTGCAAGAGCCGTATTAATGATGATATGCGAATTCACAATAAACGACAATGATCTTGGTGTTTTGCAGGCTAATGATTTCACAGGCAATACTCATAGTACTCATGATACTAAGTCTACAAGCATCGCTTGCACAAAATACGAAAAATTGTCATAATACTCATAGTGCTCCAATGTTAATATTGTTGAAAATGCTAGCGACACGAAGAGTAGTAGAATTAGCAATAATGTTGATAATGCTTGTGGTGCCAGTGCTACCAGCACTAACATGATTCATTTTTAATCACAACAACTATTTGTCAATGCTACAATTACAAGGAGGCACTAATGCTGTGAATCACACAAAGGAAGAAAATTCTTAAGACATAGTACAAATTTTAAACATACTCATGATACCAAGAATACAAACAAGACTGATGATTTTGCCCATAATGCTAAAAAAAGTATGCATAGTCCCCACAATGTCAGAAATACGAATACTACTGGTTATAGAAATGGTACAAATAAAGGAAACGGTACTTATCATACTGTTAATGCTAGTAATTACTCATACTGTTCAGGATGTTAATGGTAATACTGATATTAAACAGTAGCACGTACGAATAGGAATAATGCGCATGATATGAATAATACGAACAGTACCCAAAATACGAATAGCACCCAAAAACTTGAATAGCACGAGAAATTCGATAGCACGAACAATACGAATAGTAAGAACATTGCGAATAACACGTATAATTCGACTAATGCTAAGAATACGAGCAATGTTAGTATATCCAGCCATGCCAACATAGTACGAATAATGTTGACAATATGAATAAGAGTAACAATATTACACATATATATATATGTGTATATATATTAATAATACGACTAGTATTGCCATAACCAATAGTACGAACAGTGCGAATAGTACGAGAAGGTGAAGAACACGAAGAAAATAAGCGGCACGAAGAATACCACTACTATGAAACATGCCAATGCGACTATGCTTGCGGAGACCCCAAAGCAGTGAAAGACCATAGCCGAAGAATTCCATGAGGACCGGGAAGTCACGACCGTCGGCCGGTGGTTATGCTTGGGAAAACACATGTCGCAACTACTTGCCATCTATGTTTCTCCATATTGCCGAGAGCACGGTCATCACCCACCGGGTCTGTGGCTCGCTACGCTTCGGAAAATTCAGGTCGCAACTACTTGCAGTCCTTGTTTTTCCAGCATTTATGCCGCTTTTCGGATACATCTCCCTCACTACATCTGTACCCCATTGGTATTCGAAAACGCCAGTGAGCTCAAAAGCTACTACTGTATTGCCATTGCTACTAGTACTGAACCGTTGGCGACGACGATTACTGTTGCTGCTGCTGCTACTACCGCTCTAGTCTGACAATGCCGAGGACGTATTTCATGATGATTATCACCATCCTCATACTTAATGTTGACCTTCCGAATGTTGGGTTGAGGTTGTTTACTAATCGTTTGCATTGCACTGGTTATGCCATGCTGCTGAGACGGCAATAGTGCCGCCTACTTATGGTTTGGTTTTTCTGGCCTGCACGAAGACCTTAACCGCAGCAGGAGCGAATGGCTTGGGGCTTGCTGCAGGCGGAACCTGTGTCGCAAGTTGCTAGAGGGAGCAAGATTACAAGAGCAAGGGCTCTAGCCGTGGCGGTCATCCTCTCAGGATTTGTGTTTGCATCCCAACCAGCAGCCTCAAGACGATATCATTGCACTGTAAGACGACGGTGCTCATCACAATCATCACTATCATGATCGTCACATGCATAGTCGTCACCATCACTATCATCATCATCGCCATCGCTGTCACCATGACCACCACCATCGGCATCGCCATCGCCGTCGCCATCATCACCATCACCATCACCATCACCATCACCATCACCATCACCATCACCATCACCATCACCATCACCATCATCATCATCACCCTCATCATCGCCATCATCATCATCATCATCATCATCATCATCCTCA